CTGTTTGATTATTCGGTTTTAGGGAATTACTAGTAAAAATAAAACATAGAAGTTTAGGAGGTAGCCAGAAGAGAGAGAGAAAAGATGAAGTTTGGAAGAGGCAATTTACAAGGGAACTCTTCTGAAGGACGCACTAACCATGCCATGGACCAAAAAAAGACTTGGGGGGAGAGTGAAAGAGCACAAACATGTAGTTGAAATTCTTCTGAAAGGGGCATGAACTATGTACATGAACCAAAAGGACTTGGAGCAAAGAAAGCCTTGGCCTTCTTGTCAGGGAAGGATCTAGGGGGGAGGGAGGGTGTTGACCCAAACCCCTATGCAAAAATTACACGGTATATATAAGTAATTTTTTATTTTTATGTATATATAAAGATTTTGAATTCCCTAAACATAATACTAGAGGTTGGCTTAGTAGTTTATGGAATTCAAAATTCATCTTGAGTTCCAAGTTCAAATCTCAAAGAGCATATTTTTATTTTTCAAACCCCCTTAGTGAAAATCCTAGATACGTCACTGCTTCTTGTTCCAAAATAATTCCTTTGTATTACTGCCACACTTCATTGATGATTTATTTTTAATTGAACTCCAGCTACCACATACAGTAAAACCATAGCAATTTACTCAGTTTGATATTGGTATCTCATAATTGCTAGATATCAGCTCTTGTACCATTTTTAGATTTTTTCGTTCAAACCAACTGGGATAATTATTCTGTCATAGTCCTCTCACACAATTTCTTCCAAATTCATAATACCAAGAAACTACTAAAGTTAACTCAAATCTAGAAAATAACCTATAAATCGAGAACCAGCAGAATTACATTAACTGTCAATTATACAGAAACAGATAAAGGCTCAACAATCTCAATCATAGAACTTTCTTACTAGAACATCTGTCACCATATGAATTTGCTGAACTTCCCATCAAGAATATTAAATATGTTTGGGCAAGACAAGGAAGCAAAACAGTTGAAAATATAAGATAGGTAACTTTGATGAATGGTTTCAAGTACCTTAACAGATAAAACAATGTATACCACAAAAAGCATAAAATATCTATAACTGATGAAAAGAAAAAACACCAAATCCTGTAAATGTCAATAAGAAGAAACCAACTTTGCAATAATGACCTGTACTGGGGCATACGAATAAGACCAACCTTTGCCCAAGAAAAGCTTCTTGTATTAGATTGGGATGTCCTACTCTCCATAGCACAAATAGTTGAATTTGGGCTAAAAATATAGTTTAAACAAAAACAGATATTTTATAGTTTGTATACTTTAGCGTACATTATATCTTTCTTAACAGTTATCCAAAAGAAAAACAAGCAGCAATATGTAAAGGTTTGAGTGAAATGATTTTAGCTGTATGTAGTAGATTGCAAATGTAACGGTAAGATTAAAATGAGTAACCTCAAGAAAACATCCAGAACTGAGAGGAAAGTACCAGAAATTTCATTTCATTTTCTATACCTGCTGATAACTTTCATGTTCAGATACCACTATGCGTCCACTCAGCATCAGCTCAATCTGACCAGTTCGTGGAGTCACTAAAGGTGACCTGGGTGTTAAGCTCCCAGCTAATGACTGTTTCTTAGATATGTCAGTCAAGCTGTTGACATTTTCCAGAAGACATCTACTATCAGACTCAGGAAGACAATCTAGCATGTCTTCAGAGCATCGTTGAGACAAGCCATTCTGCTTGACTAACAAGGCATTCAACTCTTCAGGCATATTCAATGTAGACCCTCTGGATACATCAGGACTTCCTGCCCCTGTGTCTGTACTCTTTGGAGTCCATGATTCAAGTATTCTTTCAAGACTATCCACAACTCTTTCTAATCGTTCATTTACTGTCCATCCCTTCAAATCACATCTATCAGCAATCGTACATATTCTCGAGTGCTGTTCTACGTACACAGTTGGTATTTCAACTTCGCATATTCGACAAATAAATGAATCTTCATATGACAAGCAAGGTTGATCCCACATTCCCCAATTTACCTTCTTAATCTTTGAAGTTTCCTCAGAATTCTCAGGAGGGCATAATGGAGTGTTTCCAAAATGATCCATCTCCTCTTTGTGTTGCAGACTATCAGTCTTGTCCTTGGATGGGGTGGTTTCAACAGAGTCATTTCCCCTGCGGCTTCTGTCAGCTGCAGAAGGAAGCTTCTTCCATGACGACATTCTGTAGCTGTTTGCAGCAGAAGAAGCAACACTTTTTGCAGTGCTAACCTCCAAGGTATCTCCGACTTCATTTGTGCGGTCATGTTTAACAGGCAGATTGCTTTGCTCGTATCCTAGGAACTTTTGACCTCTTCTTGCACTTAAGTCCTGGCTTTTTGACCCACTAATTCTTTCTGGATAAAATCCAAGGTCACTAAGTTGGTGAAAAGACAAAATGTGGTCTTCATCATAACCACTCTCCTTCTGGAACTGCACAAGTCTAGTGCAACGAGTGAGAATAAACAGAAGGCGGGTGTGAGCTTGTTTTACGGTTCCCACAGGTAACTCTTGACGGTGGTCATCTAGAGTCTGAACAATGCCTTCACACTTTGACCAGAATTCACTTGGTGGTATCTTAGTGCAACGCCTTGCTGTAACGAGCAAATCTTCCAAACTCTCTCTCCATTCAGGATGAGATTCTGAAGTCTTCTCAAGTATCCCAACCACATCTCCTGCAAATATGCCTAGGTCAGAATTGACCTCTTCCTTTAATTTGTCAAATTTTGCTCGAACCATCACCATAATTTCCTGTGAATGGCATATCAGACAGTAAAAAAAGGATAAGCATGTAAAAGGCCTCAGGCAGCAAATGTGGCATAACAGGAGCTAAGAAAAGCCAACATACTTCCACACGCCCTAGAGCACGAGACTTCCAAAACGGAAGTGGGCAGACTCCTTTTGAATTTAGTTCATGAGAGAAGCTCTTGATATCTGGAACTCTCTTTCTACGACCACTGGTAGCTCGCAGTATAGCCTGAAAACGTGGAGATTGCATTTCCTTGGAAGAAGCTGCATGACTTCCCTATTTTGAGAAAAATTACAATGATTTATTAACCTTTTCCAAAAGGAATATAAAATCATGAAACAAAAGGAAATAAAGTAAAAGGTGAGTTCACCTCTGCACTTGAAATACTTGGTGGCGGCACTTTCAAAGGTCTTGACTGACTCCATGGAACTTTTTTACCTGAAAAATTACGCACTATTCAGAGTGGTAGTTATATGTTTCTTCAGTGATTTCTCATGTTAAATTTTAAAATTCTCAAGCAATCTTCCGCAGCCACCACATTTGTAAAATAACCGGTATTGTTTCAGTACAAAGACAAGGGATCATAGCTTGTTTCCGAATTCTCTTATGGATGGAGACATTTAGATTTAAGAAGCGATTTTACATTTATAAGTTACAAAGTTATTTGAGATTTCAGATCCATAGAGGTGCAAATATTCCAGGTTTTGAATTGAGATACACAAATCCAAATTACTGCATCCAAACAAGCCTGAGAATCTTAATAATTCTTTCACAAGGATATAATTAAAGGGAACGCAAAACCCACCTTGTTCGGAAGAATTTCCAGCAGGATGTTGAGCAACGGAGGATGATTTAGAGCCTACGCTGTCGACTCCATCAAATGGAGTAACGAAAGAATTGCAAGCCCTAAGAGGTGATGGAGAGGAACGAGTCCTTATATGGTTTAGGCCGAGAATTGAAGCCTCGTTCGTCAACGATGTTTTGCTTCTACTTTCATGATCTTCCTCCTCATTAGCGTCTTCATCAGGAAGACTATCTTCAGCAACTGGATGGTGTCCCGGTATAGGAGGAATCTTCCTTAGCTTCAGATTAACGGACGGCGACGTTGAAGGCGTCGGAGGCGCTTGGCTCCGGTGGGAAGAATGTGTACTGGTGGCGATCGGATTTAGTTTTTTTTTCTTAGGCTCGAGATTAGCGGGAGTCGTCGACATTGTAGTTGATTGTAGGAATAACGATCCGGTTCATAATTGCATGGTGATCAAAGAAGTAATTGATATCGCTAATCATCAATTTTGGTTAATTAAGTGAGAGAAATTTGATACTAAAATGGAAATTAGGATTGGGAAATCCAGATTTTGGGATAATTAAAGGGAGAAGATTAAAGAGTTTGAAGAAGAGGGAGATTTTCGCGGGAAAGGGGTGACAACTGACACGCACGGAGAGGGGTGTATTGGAAATGGACAGAATTGGTTAATTCACTATATTACGTGCTTCCAACTACTGCGACCATATGGTAGTTCACTTGGCAACTATCTTTGAGAAGCAAATATTTTAGGGTGTGTTTGGAACGAAACTAGAGAATATTTCATGTTGCTTGATTAGTAAGAAGAAAATATTATTCTAAAGATATTCAAGTATAATATGGGTAAATATAACGATATCAAACCCGAAATAATCCATCAATAACACAAACCCGAGCACCTATATTGACCACAACTCGAGATTCGACTTGACCCCAACACCGGCTCATCCTGAAACTCGACTCAAACCTGAGATTCAGGACATGACTCCTGACCCAAGACCAACTCCTAACTCTGACTTGAGACTCTAGACCTAACCCTTGACCTTTACCCCGACTCAGAACTCGATCCTCAACTCGACCATGGCCTAACCCTAATTCATGATTCGACTATGACCCCAACCACAACTCGGTAGCTAATTAACCCCGATCTTAATCCCAAACTAGGATCGAGACCCGACTAACTTGACCTCAAGTTAGGGTTGGGTTTGGGATACAAGTTGAGTCCTAGGTTGAGTTGGGGGCGAGGTCGGGAGTCGAGAGTTGAATTTCAGGTCTAAATTGGATTGGTTAATGACATTGAAAGAGAATTTGAAAAATATTTTCCTTATTTTTTATATAGAAAAGTCATTTTCCTTGAATTGAATTTGAGGTGAAAGTCCATTTGGAACTCTGTACGTATGCACCCTTTTTTTTTTCAAGTTTAAAATGGTGTAATATAACAAGGGGCATTTTTGTCATTCTTCGGTCAAAATTGTCGTTAGACCTTCTGCGAGAACGCTTTATCAAGCCGATGAACCCAGTTCTCACCGGACTTTTTTTTCCGGTTTCCAGTTTCTACTGAGCCAGCCCCTTCTGCAGATTGAGCAAACAAGAGGAGCAGAACCTCGTTGTTAAGAGTCAGCAGTTTCGTCTAGGGCGAACGCCATGCACGCTCTAATTCGCAAGTGCGCCGCTGCTCATGTACGAGCCAACACCAACTTCATCCACATTTCAACATCTACAGCTCCCTCAATAAAAGAGACGGGCCTCTACGGCTTTCATCATTTGAAAACTCCCAAAGGCTTCCAACGATTCGTTGACGATGCTATTGAGAGGTAAGCATTTACAAAACAGATAGCAAAAATTCTCTACTTTCGTTCGGTGAATGTCGATTGTTTCGCTTGTCTTTTATTGCAATGTTACAGAAATTGCTTTACTTCATCTGGAGTTAAATAAGTGTTTGCTGTTTCACGTGTTTGATAGAAAAATTTCACATGCTTAATAGGTCACAAGAACTTGTGAACTATATCGCTGGCATGCCCTCATCTCCCGAAATTATCCGGGCAATGGATGAGATTTCTGATACTGTAAGTTTGGGTTTTTGTGGTCTAATTCTGCTTTTGTTGAAACAAGACGCCAGACCATAACTGACCTATTTAATTTGATAGGTGTGCTCAGTAATTGATTCAGCTGAATTGTGCAGACATACTCATCCAAACAGGTGGTGAACTAGGATTGAAATAAACCTATGCATTCGTATCTACAGTTTCTGATCTTCTTTTCAATTGCTTTGAGTACTTACATAAAAATTGTCACATTTTAGGGAGTTTGTTGATGAGGCAAGCAAGGCATCCTTGAGAGTAAATGAGTTTTTACACGTAAGGTTCCTGAAATTTGATTGGGTTTATTAGTTCTTTTTTTTTTTGTCTTGCTGGTTATATCAAATTTGAAATAATAGCTGCTTAAGCTGTATAATTCCCTACCATCCAAGAGCTCTTACCCACTCTCTACGGGAAAGTAAAACCTGGAGATCCATTTTAGACTGATAAAAGTTGAAGGAATATAAAATGACGTTACTTGTGTTAACACTGACTGTTGTATTGGGACCTAAATTGCCTCAAATTTCAGCTAGCTAGTGATGTCAAAGAATAAATAGTTGAACTATCTAATGGTAGACAAAAGTCGGATCATTAGGTTTTTACATTTTTATGTCACTTGACTGTCTCATTTGGTGTATGCTCCTTGATACACTTTTTGATCTTTGTCTTTTCTCGCACTTGATGGTTGCCAATAATTAGACGTAAACTTCAGTAGACTCCTGAAGTTTGAGGTGATCTGGATTCGGTTTATTCTCGCACTGATTATCCTTTGCACATGTCTTTGTCAAATTAGCAACTTGAGCCATGAACTGAAGAATCAGATTAATACCAAGTAGAAAATGAAGAAGTAAATCCACCCTCATGTAGAATCTGTTACTACCTCCCCCCCCCCCCCCCCCCCCCCCCCCCCCCCCG